AACTGAAATTTAGGTGTAAGGAGAGTAAGTTAACAGGATCCGGCTCTAGCGTACTTTAGAGCTTGAATTCGATATATCTAGAAAGGTTTGTAGAGGTCATTAGAAAAGTAGGAAAGCTAGGGTTGGAATTCAGACCCCAGAACCCTTCTTTTGGTACTACTACTTTTCCCACCTAGATCTAGCAAAAAGTTTGACCCTTATTTCTATACAAGACAAAAAACCAAAAACCATATTTACAAAAGAATGAAACAAATTCAGAGAAAGAAAACAAAAAAGAAAAAAAAACAAAAACAAAAAGAAAAAAAAAAAGGAAAACTTTAAATGCTATTCAATTATAAAAGAAAGAAGATAGAAAAAGCAACAAAAAAAAAAAAAAAAAATCCTAATATACACTATTATAACCCATGCCAGGTAAAAATAAAAATTATATATCAGATACAACATCTGTATATCTCAATTGTAAAACTAAGCCTTAACATATAATTTTTCTCTGGTCCATCATTCGGCCGTGGCTGTAAACCTAAACTGCATCTTATATCAGACATGTGCCATCAACGTCTCCGGCCCAGGCTTAGGAATTTCTTTTAACTGAGACCCGTTCCAGTACTTGAACGTCATATCTATTTCTGTATACATGTTGCCATCTACCGATCTGACTGAATTTGGAAAGTCAACAATGCCGATCTTTTGTAGGGAGTAAGCCAAATCTCCACTTTTTATGAAAAAATTTTGAAAGACTAACAAGAAAGCGAAAAAGGAGGGAAGAAACTACTTGGCCAATAAAAGAGTATGAGGCTTTTTTAAAACAGTTGTTTGCTGTTTTTCAGGTAAGTCAGATGCATATATAACTTCATTATTGGAAGTGAGAGACCTCTTCCATTAGAATTTTTTGCACAAGGGTGTACCTTCCTGCCAGTTATCTTGTACAAGAACACTTCTAACTTGTATGATAAAGATATAGAGAAGTCCCCAAGCCAAAGCAGAGAAAAAACTAACTTGGTTAACCTCTATAAAAACCATTAATATGCGTCTACTTCAGCTCCAACTTTAGCAAACTTCTATTTTCTTTTCATCAGAAGAGTTGGTCCAAATGATTGTCGAAAAGAGTTCTGAGAACTAATGCATATATATGACTTTTATATTATTAAAAAATATTAAGTTAGTTCTAACTGTTAACTTTTAAGTATTAATTTGTAAATTGTATATATGGGGTCTTTGTCTTGAAAATAGGATTCCAAGGTCCTTAAACCAAAAATTGAGATCTTTGCTAAATTCTAATTTATGAAACACAAAGCTTATTTTGTAAAAATTTTATAACCAATTAACTTAATATTAAAATAAGTTATTGAAGTCTGGAAATTTGGTGGAAAATTTTTTTTGATATCTAAAAATAGAATGGAAATGATCGACCATAGTGGTTATTATCAATTTTGTATGGGCATTGTGCACAATTTAATTTTTATTCAATAATAAAAAATTATATGAAAATCATATCTAAAATTAGCAGAAAATCAGGTTTGAGTTGTTTGGGTTACACAATCTTTATTTACTGTTTACTCAAAAAAAATTACTAGTCCTGTAACTTGATTTTCAAGGCAAAAACTCCATATAACTATATATTTTATTAATATTAATAAAAATATTAGTAACTTGATATAGCCAGTTACTATAATATTGTAGCTTCAAGCCAATAAGTGTACAGATTACACAATATAACTAAGGCATGCCCACTAGCTCTGTGGCATGCCTGTGCCTCCATGCCCCGAACCCTAAAAACAGCTGTAATAACCAGGTAAGTTTTTAAAAAATTTCTAAAAAAATTTTATAAATTTTTATATATAAATTAAAAAAAAAAACCAGCCGGCCAGGTCTATTTAATGTTATGAGAACCAATAAATTAAATTTGCGTGGCCTTATTTCGAAGATATTTATTATTTTTTTTTAGTCTTTTCTTTGTTGATCATTTTTTCAAAACAACAATTTGTAGATTTTCTCTCAGTAATAATGACTCAGGTTAAATGACTTCCTTATCATATTCAGTTGGTAACCGGTACAAGGCCTTTGCTAGTTCTTCTTTTCAATGGAAGATTAAAGTGTCATTTATGTCAAGAACCTTTTTGCATATGCTTTCACTACTTTAAGATCAAGACGATTATATGATAGTATATCAGCAATATCTTTTCTGATTGAAACATCCTTGCTCAGCCTTTTATAGCATTTTTTTTTTGCCTAAAAGAGCAGCTTGATCGTCTTCCACTAACTGATACTAGTTGAAGCCCAAATCGATTACACCATATAAGCGCGAAACAACGCGTAGGGTTGTAATTTCGAAATTTGGCCTAAATTAAGCTTAATTCAAAATAACGCCCCTGGGCGCTTACTCGGTATCTAAGATTTTTATACCAGATACTGTACGCACGTACACACATACGTCAGTGTAAATTGAAGTTCCGTGTGATTATGCAATCACAATAAAGAAAAAAACTCGTTTAATCTTGTTTTTTTCTTTTAATTTCATTGACATGAACGTAAAAAATTAAAGCTATTGATTATCGAACCTTTAAAGATCAGTTATACTTGATTTAATTAAAGCATGAATACAACCAGTAAAATATACTACGACTTGGTTAAAGTTCAAATATTGTGAGCAGTAATCCAAAACTTTCAACGGTTTAATTAGCCAAACATTTTACGAACGTACGCCAGTACGTACATTCTTAAATGCCGTGTAACACGTCTTATTTGAACCAAAGATATCTTCGCTCATCTCTATTCTATCTGTAAGTTTATATTCAAGCCCTTTGTCATGATTTTACAAAAATAGACGCATTTTAAATTCTTGAGAAATACTGGTCGCTGCGATCAACATGTACGTACTCGTTTTGCTTCCCTTTTAAAGAAATCTTGTTAATTTTTAACTTCATCTGGTGAGATTTTCATCAAAAATTATCCATCATTGTCATCCTTAGCTGTTAGTTTACCTTTTTGTCTTTTTTTTTTTTTTAACATTTCCTAGTTCAATCCATTTTTGACTTTTAATATACAGTATTACAACGATGATTTATTATTTCAATTAATAATGAGACAATAATTTTTGATTTTTATAACAGAATTTATTATATTGATATATCAGTATTCAGTTAACTTTATTATCTTACTAAACTGATGAATGATTGCAAGTTCGAATGCGAGTTTATTAAGAACTGAATTGAACGAATTACAAAACTCACTATTATCGATACACTTATTATTTTATGAAAATTCCTGCTTCTAAAAAAAAAAAAAATTTGTTACATTGCAAATATGGGTCATTCACTATTTTTACATCTGAATATCTGAATACTGAATAATAATTACGAAAGTTGATGAAATATGTTCAAAAAATATTGCTTTTACTCAACTAACTTTGTGTAAATTCTTTTGATTTTTCCTACTTTTTTGGCGCGGTATTCTAAGTCATATTGTTGTAGTAATACGACCGCAATCACGTGCTTGATTTTCAATGACATGTACATTTATATGCAAAATGCTTACGAAGTCGGACTTTCACTCCTTATTAAGTTCCCACCTCGTCTATTATAAAAGAGAGAATATTTTCCACTTCTTCCTGACCGTAACAAATCAAACTGTATTTTTGTCTTGGCCCTTCATAAACTATTATAAGGTTTAGAAACTTTGGTGCTTTAAAAAGAGAGAGAACATGTGAGTCGTAAAGTACAGAAAATGAATTTGCAGAATTCTATTTAAAATGTTTTCAAATTTTAAACAAAGTCTCGGCCATAATTACTTAATTTTAAATCTTGACATTCCAAAATTTTTGATTTTAGAGGTTGATTATTTAATAAATAGGATTTTTGTATTTTATTAAGTATGCTATTGTTATTAATAAAAGCGATCGTTTATCGATTTCCTCCTTTTGATCAATATTTTTTTTATGTTGTACTTTAAACTTAATCGTTCGAATAATTTTTTTGATCGTTTCTAATACAACAATTCCCTATTAAAGGAAGATTTTTCGATCTATTGAAAGTCTCATCATGACGTCGGGTACAACTGAGAATGATAATACAAATAGGAATCCAACTACTTTTTTAAATGATTCAACACATTCTACAGATTTATCTTCAACAACTTCTTCCCAAGATTTTGTTCTTATCAATTCACCGAGAAATGCTAATGATTCTTACGCTACCGATCAATCTAATAATATTAGCATTCAAAGACATTCTTTTGAAGATGATGATGCTGAAGATCTAAGTATGTCTTTAATTTCTAATTAATTTTTAATTTTCGTCATTTTTTTATTTTCTATATTATTTCAGTTTTTCCAATTTTACATTCCTCCAAAAATGAAGGAGATGATTCTGAAGCTTCTTCAGATTCTTTTGATGCTATTGATGATTCTCGTCGATTAAGGGATGATGACGATGCTCCCGCTCAACGTTATTCAAAACTTAGGAATTACAAACATTGTAGATTCAATTTCCCTCTAACGTTTCGTATTATGTATATCGGTTCGGATCCTTCTAACGGATATAGAAAGAAAATTTTTTCTAAATTTTGTGATAGTTTATCTCAAATCTTTTGGGAAGAAGCGGAAAATACTAATACAACTGGTGATATTAAACTTGAACAAAGATTTGTCGTTTCTCCTGTTCGTAATAAACCTCTCCAAGTTGAATATTATAGAGATTCTGCTGTTGCTCTTTGTGAGGCCGATTTCACAAATGGTCCTTATGAAAGAGCTTTCGATTATTTAAGAAAACAATTCGAAATTACTGATAATGACTCTAATTTGGTCGATTTATGTGTTGTTTTCTTACCTTTTGATGTGAAAAAGTTCCGTCATGATCTTTTACCTACTATGAAAAAATTACAGGAAAGAGTTACTTTATTTCCTGTCATCTCTTCAAGTGGCCAAAAATATTCTAGAATTGAACAACGTGAACAAAAAAGACGTGAAATCGTAAATAAATTAGAAGATTATGGTATTGATATCTTTATGTGGAAATCTGATCAAATTCTTGAAGATTCTGGTACTATGGGTGATTCTAATTCTCGCCATGAAACTGTTTATACAAAAAAAATTTTTACAGTGGATGAATTTATCAAATTTGATAGTGGTTATGTTTATGATGACCTTCAACTATTTCGTGCTAGTGCTATAGAACTCAGAAATGAACGTTTACGTTATGAACGTGCAAAGAAGCGTACTCAACAATGCGATAGAATTGCCGGTATATTAAGAGATTTCATTGTCATGTGCATGGTTCTCTATACTGTCTACTTGTTCGTTTCTAGTGTTTGGCATTACGCTGAATGGTCGGTTATTCCATCAGAATTTGCTCAATCGCTTCAGGCTATATCGCGCGCTTCTTTAAAAACTCCTAATGGCCCTCATTGGATTGACATAGGAAATAGTGATATTGATACTCAAATAGAAGTTTTACAAGAATCTTCGAATCATTATATTTTTGATGTGTTGAACAAGAAGCATTCTATTAATGTTGAAAAAGATGTTTTTGATGTCGTTGTTACACATAATCCACCTCAGGTTTTGGGTCGTCATTCGGTTTTAGATTTAGGTAATGGTAGATATTCTTTTGACATTGATACTTCTGATGCAAAAGGTGAAATTATTATTGAGATAAGAAAGAATGAACAAGTGATTAAAGCATTCCCTTGGTACCCCCAAGAAAAAGGATAAAATCGGCGAGAAGTCAAAGGACACTACTATTAGCAAAAAGTCTGATAACATAAGTTTTTTGGATACATTTAATAATGCTGCATTGGACATAAGCTTTAAAATCAATAACGCTTTAGAAATTGCTCTCGTTTGGTCTTATGCAACAGCTGTATATGTTGAAGATAAAGCTATTGTTGTGTTACGTTATGTTGGTGAACAGGCAGCGATAGCAGCCATTGTTGTATGGGAATCATTAAAATATTGGGTTCCTCTCGCCTGGGAAAAATTCATAGTCTTTTCTGATGATTACATGCAGAGGCTCAGATATTCCGCAAAGAGAATCAAAAAAGGTGCTTACCGGATGGCACAATATATAAAAGATTATCTCGAATAGTGTTGCTAATAATTGGATTGGGTCGGGTTTAGGGTCGGTTCAAAATCAACCTTGATTAGACTGGGATTTGCAAATTTGTGAATTTTCAAATAAATTGTATTTTATTTATACCATTTGATATTTGTTAAATATATTACATGCTTAATCATTATAATAAACAAATACGTAACAGCAATTTTTAATTAAAGCAAATAAGAATTAATATGTAATATTCTTGTAATTCTGCATTTTAGAACCTGACCTCTTACTATATTGCTTCTTGAAATATCATGAGAATAAATTTTTTTATTACACAGTTACATAAATTGTTTCTACGTTTCAAGTACGTATGGATTGTGTTTGTCCTGATACTGATCTCTTGGCAACGATTAGATTGTTTCTTTAAAATATTCAATACTAGTCGCAAGGATCGTAAGGTAATATCCGATTATTTTAGCTAGATGGGAGTATTTGCTTTATTTTCTTTTTACCAAAGAATAATGTACTTTCGCGTTGCCAGAAGATTTTCAATAATTCCATTCTGCTTATTAATTTTTGCTTTTTTCTAAAAATATGATTTGACAATTGACATATAAGTATTATTATAATAAAAAAAAGAATTGTTTTTCTAACATTAAGTTTGGAATTCAAATGATTTTGTTTTTTTGTTATAATTTAATATAGATCAAGCACTATATATATGAATAATTACTATATACTGTATTATATTATAATTTAAGTTAAATATTTGTAATGTTTCTAAATTTTTTTTTTAATTGAATATATATTTAGTTAAAATCTATTAATTTTTTTTATAAAATTGCAAATTTTATTTATTATTATTATTTTTATTATTATTTTAGGCAATTCTGCTTTTATTTACTGTAAATGACTATACAAATTGTATTTTTTTTTATTTTTTTATTTTATTTTTTTAAATTTTGGCAGTCTTGCCTCTACTTTATTAGGCTTTATAATATTATACTATGAAATATTAAAATTTTTCAAGAAGCTATTCCTCTTGACATCTAAATTACAAGTATTAGCTTACCTGGTTATTTAAAGAACACCTATGTATAACCTGCTATAGTAAGGTTTACCTCCGTATTAACTTGTCCTGTACTTGAATTCGTTAATACTTCGATAAAAGGTTCTTATGGCCTGTCAAAACTACTAATTGCTTTTCCACTACTCTGCACATTGACTATTTATAATCCAACCTAATACTTCATTTCTCACTATTTCTAATATTGTAGTCCATCTTTCGCTTTTTTTCTTTTTTTTTCACTTTTTTGATCAAGTGATTTGTCAGATATGGTTTTCTTTCCATTTACAGACTTCTTCTTCTTCTTTCTTTCTCGCTTAGATTTTGAAATAGCATTCTTCTTTTTTTTGAGTGCTATGCTATTTTTTTTCTCTCATTTCTGTATAAGTTTGTATCTGGGGGCCCATATTGTCTCATATATTCTCTTTATCTAATTCTTCTAGAGCTAAATTATAAACTTCTTTGCTTAGTTGTTAGAGTCGAAAAATAGGCGAATCTTTTCGACATTACCGTTTGTAATAAGGCCTCTAATCCATCTTTCTCTACTTCTTAGTTCTTCAGATATATTTTCTTTTCCCAACATTACAAGAATGTCTTTTTTATCTATGCTTATGTCACTTTTCTTTTCGAGCTTTTTCAAAATTAACTTTACTTCTTGTTCTTCTATATTATACAACAAACCAAGAGAGACCTCACAACTAACTAAATATTCAATATTTTCAGTTTTATTTTTATATACTACACATTTGTTTGTTTTATAAACGTCTAGTTTTCTCTTATTTAGCCTTTCAAAAACCAATAATAAATTGTTTATACACTTTAATTCGAAGAGCTGAATGCTGTTTGATGTGAAAGTGTGATCTTGCTACTTAATTTCACTTTTTAAAAGTTCATAAAATATTAACCAGCATTGATGAATCTTTCTTTCTCTGTGTGTAGTATTTTGAGTACTATGTGCGAATGTCCATTCTGCCTTGTTTATTACTTTTTCAAGCATCTTGGTAAAAGATCAAAGTGGTTTTTCTACTAGTTCATTTTCCCGTTTTAAACTTAATTTGTATTTCTTTATAATTAGTAATACCGGGGTTAAAAATTCTAAGCTGGTTGCATCTTCTCTGGCTTTGAGATCTGCCAGGTCATTAAAAAATTCACCTAAGTGTTCTTTGACTTTTGTGAGATGCAGCTTTAGCTATTTTGTCTGGATCACTTCTGTTAGCATTGTAATGAGGCCACTATTTTTAATCTTTAGCTACTGTCTTTTTATTTAACTCTAGACCTTTTTTGATTGCTAGAATTGATACCTTACTATCTGTTCTGATTTTGACCTCTTTTTCTTTTGGTGTTACTAATAAGGCAATGAGAATCGCTACTAACTCGGCTCTGGTCGAAGAAAACCACTTTTCAGTTGCACATACTATTTGATAAACAATTTGACTCCTGTTATCTATTTGGATTATTCTACAACCCATTTGCATTTTTAAATCGTTTTTTGATGTTCTGAGTGAGCTATCTGTATAAAACAAAAAACTATCTAATTTTCTATTTTGCTCTAAAATTTTAACTAACCTATTTTTTAATTCTTTGTCTAAAACTACTCTATCTATTAATAGTTTTTCCCAGCTTTCAGCTTTTATTATCGATATGTTTTGCCTTTTCATATTTTGTAGCTCTTTGGGTGATACCATGATTTTTTCCTTTTTTTTCTCTAACTCTTTTTCTAGAGTATTTATGTTGAGGATTAGTTTTACACCTTTTTCAGTTTTCTGTACAAAATTTGAAATATCTCTTAGCTCTTTTTTAAATATTATAAATTATTTATAATAATTTATTAAAAATTTCAATAATAAACTATTTAAATTTAAATAAGGTATTTTAGTAACTATAACCGGTAGTGATTATTACCGAGATACTTATATTTCAAAAACATACTAAGTAAACTGAATCAGGTATTTTAAGTAAAAATGTTTAGAACCCTTGAAAACCTTACAAAAACTGAAATTGGAACCTTATATTAGCTTTATATTATATTATATAAAAAAAAAATAATTATCTAGTTTTTAACTCTAATCCTAACAAATCTTAGGACTGGTGATTAGAACTAAATCTTTTAAATAAATGATTAATTTAAAAAATTATATATAAATATATATATATTGTTACAAAGCAGGTTGTAGTACAATATAACATTAGAATAGCATAGTATAAATTATATATTTTATTTATTATATTATTATCATTATTATATTAGTTATATTTTATTATATAGTTATTATATTATTATTATATTATCTTGTATATTATT